GGTAATCCCTAGGAAGAAAAATGTTATAACATTTTTTATAGATAATTGTATCATCTACACTTTCGTCTCACCTTTTTTTTATGAGGAACCTTATCGTTTTGCTGGAAAATTCCAAAAATAAATTTATGTGACCTTCAATAACTTTTTTTGCAGACATGGGATCAATGGAGACTTTTGACATTTAATCTATAATAGTGTTCGCAACATTCGTACCAAATTTCAGCTTTATGCGAATTATTGTAAGCTTACCCTTATTTTTTGAGCTAACTTTACTGGGCTATTGATTTGTAGCGCCATCTTGCGGTTTGTTAAATAAGAAACAAATATTAAAAATAAATGTTTCGTATCAAAAAACCCCAAAATACAAATTCGTATTAAAAAAAATTAACATTCGTAACACTTTAGTAAAATATAATCTGCATATTAACTCAGCATCAATCAAAGATATCCTTTTAAAATTGCGCATGCTCGAAATTGACTTTAGGTCTATGGTTTTTCTTAGAATTGTATGAAGAATACGAATCTGCTAGGCACGATGTTGAAAAAAATTTATCCATACAAATTGATCCGCCCTAATATACGTACCTCTATATTAAATATACGCAGAAATACGTTTATTAAAAAGAGCATAGAAATACCTTCGGCTTATAACCCTTACTTAACAGAATTCTCTTTTCTGTATTACCGGAGAAGCCGGAACTTCTTTTTGCGTAGGCGGCCTTCGGCCGCGCTTAGGGATTATCATCCTTACTACGTACAGTTATTTTTCTATGTTGCCAGAAAAGGACGAATTCTCCTTTCTATGTTCCCCCTCAATCAACAGAATTCTCCTTTCTCTTACCGCAGTATAAAAGAACAAAATTCTTTCTCTTACCGCAGTCGTCCCAATTATGCGCAAAAAACAAAAGGAATTAGTAATTTTCTATATATGAATATTTACTTTTAAATTAATATAAAAATATCGTTTCATACGAAAAAAAATGCCGCAGACAAAAATTTGTAGTTGTTTTATTTCACTGTTGGCTAAAGTCCTAAGTCCAACTATTCAAAATTATATGGGTCATGTCCAAACAAAACACTATTCTTTTGCCCCCGCCCCCCCTTTTAAATTTTTTTATGGTGGAAAAACGAAAAATCAAGAACAGCATTATACGATCCAAATACTATACTGCACTTATGCCAAACTTAGTTTAAGGGTTAGGTTTTAGGGTTAGCCAATCAAATGTCAGCCAGCTGTTAAATATGAACACTAGAGTGCCCGCGTTCGTTTTTAAAAACCAATGCACGCGTGTCCTACTATAGTTACGGTGACCATATTTATGGCATCCGAATACGGGGCAAAAAATAATTTTGCCAATTTTTTCCACAAAAGCTAGAAAACTCTTTTTCAATGATCCTAGATTAATTAGCCCTGAAACAGCATCTTTATTTAGCATATCGTCGTTTAAAGCACAAAACCGCGTACCAACAAACTTCAAAACCGCGTATGTGAGGTTGCGAAATTCTTTTCTAGAGAGTAAAAACACTCATGTTTGAAAATCGATCCTTTTTTTATAAAGCAATCGCATTTCTGGCTAGTATATTTCACGACGAATCCAAATTTTTGGCAAAATTTTCAGTTATGCGGTTTTGCAGAACGACGATACGCAGTTTTGTACTTTAAACGACGATATATTTTTCGATCTTTTGTCAACACAGCACATAAATATTCAGTTGCAACATCACACATTTGTAGAATATTTTTCCATAACTTTGTACTTTGTGCTCGGGATAAAATTTTTTACAAACATTCCTAGGCAGGGAAAATTTTATTTATTTATTTAAACTACATATCATACAAATAAATTTATACAATATGGAATGGTGCCGAGTAACAAGACTATTAGCACCGATTTAATTTAAAACATAGTGAATAAGTAAGTAATTAGATTGATTTATTAGACTTATATGTATTTAGATGTCTTCAAGGACGCCTTTTTGCAACAGCGCTCTACGTATTTCAGAATATGTTTCGGCTTTACTACAGTCCAATAATTCATGCAACGGTTTAACAGAACGAGTCTCTGATACGTGCAATCGCGATACACTGTTGTCGGGAGTAAACATGATTGTATTTAGGTCGTGTTATTGTTTTGTTGCATTTAGTAAAAAAGTGGTTGGACAAGTTCCATTTCTCCTTATAATTCTCCATTTTAGTACCTTTGAAACAAGCTAAAGGTAATGTATATAAGGGTGGAACTTCAGCAACTAGCGGTAGTGTTAGTGCCTCCTTAGCTAGACGGTCAGCGTACTCGTTTCCAGAGATTCCACAGTGTCCAGGTACCCACATTATGCTGATTGTTTTACGAATTTTGAGCCCATTGAATACAAATTTAAAGTTGTTTGCTTCGGTGTTACGTAAAGATTGGATGACGCTGAGGCTGTCTGAGCATATAAGGGCTTTATTATTTTCAAGACTTGCCATTCTAACTGCTGAACGTAGAGCACACAGCTCGCTATGAAATATGCCAGCATGTGTTGGAAGTAGCGCCTGTTTCTCAATTTCAAAGTTAGTGCCACTTGTTTGTTTAACGACAGCGTAAATTGAAACTCCTTCAGAAAAGGATCCGTCCGTATAATAAATTGTGTCAGGGGCAAATTGATGAACTTTTTCCGCAAACAGGGATCTATATATATCAGGATTCACGTCGTTCCTCGTTTTTTTCGGTTAGGCTGAGGTCAAGCGTTACATAAGTGTGTCCTTGCAGTAATTCATCGCACATTTATAAATTGGACGATGTTGAAAACTGCGGATCTGTTACTACTTTTTGGTGAAATACATTCTACCGAGGCTTCTTGAACGAGGGAGGATAGTGCTGCTTTGTTGGATAAATAAGTATTAGCACCTAGATTTACTGCTCGTTTGTGTAGTATTGATACAAAGTCACTATACTTCGCTTCATTTCTTAGTGCTTCAATCGGAGTGGTTTTAAGAAGACCCGAGGCTGTGCGAAAGCAATTATTCATAGCGACATTTACTTTTTTGGTATTGGCAGATGATGTCCATCCATATAGGGTAATACAATGTTGCACCGTTCCCATTACTAGGCTTTTACAAATATTTAGTGCCGTTTCCATGTGCGGACCCTTAATTCTTGAGCAGACGACCTTCAGAAAATTATTGATGTTTTTTAATTTTGAAACTACTTGGGTTATATGGTCATTCCACAGCAGTAACTTTGTGAAAATAATACCAAGAATACTCATCCTATTTTTTATTGGTACATTCGATTGTCGCATTCTAATGTATCGCGCGTCACAGCCGTGCTTACGACAGACGTGCAGAATTTCAGCTTTGTGTGCAGGAATGATAGCTCCTGTTTTGCTTGCCCACCTTGCCATGCGTTGATCTACTGATTTTAATGCTTGTTCAACTTGGATTGGTTTCCCGGACGCTAGTACGAAAACATGGCGGCATAAAGTGAGATGAAATCAACTCCCTCTAGGCTTCTCAAGGCTCGAATTAAGGTGTTGGCGTAGGCAACGTATAGTACGACAGATAATGATGAACCTTGCGGTATCCCGTTATCCAATTTGCATTTGTCCGAAAAATAGCCATCGACACGTACTGTTACCGTACGGTTAACAAGGAAGGACCGTATCTGTTTTAACATCCAGGTTTGAACGTTCCATATGCGTAACTCCTCGATAACATAAGGAAGCACGACTCGATCGAATGCCCTTTCCAGGTCTTCAGATAAAATCAGACAATGGTTTCTACCTTCTAGACGTTCTTTGATTTTTGATTCTAGGCTATGACAGAGGGTGTGAACACCGTGCTCTGGTACAAATGCATGCTGCTCTGGAAAAATGTGGCCCTTGCCGTATTGCCAAAGTCTTTTAGCGAGTACTTTCTCCATTAATTAAGGATATAGGGCGATGTCCTTCGAGCTTGTTTGGAGCTTTGTCCGGCTTAGAAATAGGTACAAGGATAGCATGTTTCCACTCATGGGGATAGGTGCCTATGCGAAGGATATTGTTGTAAAGTTGACATAGTCTCATTTTAAGGTCAATGGGCGAATGTTTTATCATTATATACGTGATTTTGTCTTTACTCGGAGTAGAGCCTCCTTCTTTTCCATTCAGAACAGTGTTAATTTCGGTCAACGTTATAGAATCTATAGTTTCCTGGGAACCGCTCGATGTAATAACAAACTCTCTTTTTTGTTCTATAATTTTGTTTTGGAATGATTGATCGGATCCAATTGAACTCCAAAATTTGGCAAAGGCGTTTGCAATATCCCTAGCGTGAGTAACTGTGGATGTGTCTGTAATAAGGGATGGAAAATTCGAAATACGTGTACATCTAATTTTTTTCACATTTTCCCATAGGCATCGAATATTCATTGTTGGGTTAAGGGAATTAACGAATTTTTCCCAAGTCAGCCGTTTACCGTACTTACACTCCCTTCTTACTTTAACGTTGGTTTTTTTGTAGTGTATTAAATGTGTCATTGTTCTCTCTCTTCGAAATTGTTTCCAGCCCTGATTTTTTTCACGTATGAGATTAGCAATTTCTGTGTTAAACCATGCTGGGCTATTATTTCGGTTGCTTTCATTATTCCGCGTAATTGGTATCGATTCATTTGCTGCTTTACGAATAATTTTTTTGATTAGGGCTGCCTCTCTATAAGCATTACTAGAACAAGTAATTTGTGCAGAATATGAGTTTGCCTTGACAGAAAACATTGGCCAGTTCGCTTTCGTGTCAAGAAACTTTGAGATAAACTGTTTTTTGTTGCAGGTGTCATGATTTGTTATCATTATTGGGAAGTGGTCCCAAGTTTCTGGTGGGAGACATGTCCATTTCAAGGAACCACTTAGATTTGGGCTGGCCATGGAAACATCCACTGCCGTAAGCGTCCCTCTGGTATTTAGAAGTGTTGGTGAGCCATCATTAAGAATTACTAGTTCCCGGTCGTTACAAAAATTTTCCCAGATCGTTCCGGTTCTGGAGGTACTAGACGAGCCCCATAATGTATTGTGCGCATTTAGATCTCCACATATTATTTGATGACCTTCCTTTCGACCAGTTTGTGCGTTTGGCTGATTGTTAAATATCTCTTCCACCATATCCGTTGTTAAGCTGACATCTGTTTCTTTGTAAATATTAGTTACATACAGGTTCGTTCCATTATTTATTGTGATTGTTTGGTGTAATAGATTATTTTGCGATGCTTCATATTGAGTAACGTTCATATTGTATTGCGAATATTGCGATTCCAGATTTTGAAGTGGTGTAGTCTTTATTGTGGAAAAATACTCTGTAACCTGGTAGGAATAACATGTTTCTATTTTTTTTTCAACAATGTGCGTTTCTTGGAGCAGGATAATATCTGGGTTGTGTTTGTGGATTAAACGTTCAAGCCCAAATTTATTGTTCACAAAGCCTTGGATATTCCATTGCAAAAGTTTTATGTTTGTTACAACGTCCATGTGAATATTTAATTATTTTTATTTTCTTTGATGTGCAATGTTTTTTTATAGGAATTTGGTGAGATTATTGCTTTAATTTCTGGATATTTCTTAAACAAATGAGATGTGGGTGATATTGATGCACATTGTGGCAAATATCTTTGGGATGCTAGGGAAGTTAGATCAACCATTTCGGAATTTGTTTCCTCCGTATAAGTTGCATTGTTGACAGCTGTTTCATTGATTTGTTTTGTTTGATTATTTAAAATATTTGGTTGAACGTTCGAATTTTCATTTATCTCATTTATATTGATGCAAGATTCACTATTTGTTTTGCGTTCTATTGTTGTTTTTGTGGTTGATTTTTGTGGATGTAGATCATGAGCGGATGAATTGATTGTTGTTGTTGTTGTTGTTTGATTGGGTGTGTTTTTGGTAATTTCGGAAAAAGTTTTTCGCTTTTGATTATATGGTAATATTTTGTGAAAATCGGGATTTTGGTTATACAGTTTCCAAGCTTCTTTAGCTGTGCACCTTTTATCTTTTTTTATTTTGTTTATAGCTTTGTGCTTTAAAAAGGTTTCGCAAGTTGAATCGGAAGATGAGTGAGTATCGACGTTACAATTTATACAGAAAATCCGATCACAATTCTGATGAGGAGTTGGCTTGGCACATACTTTGCAATTTTCAATATTCCGACAATACTTTTTTGTGTGCCCAAGTTTTGACAGGTAAGGCACCTCAAAGGATTCGGAATGTACTCATAAACTTGCACTTTTTTCCATCCTATATTCAACTTTTCAGGGCGGTGTATACGGTCGAAAGTTATGATAGCGGCCCCTGTGGGAATAAGGTTATCATTTTCTTTTTTGAGTATCTTTTTGACCGATATGACTTTTTGGTCGGCTAAGTATTTGGTTAGCTCTTCATCGGATATATTTATAATTTTCTTTGAATATATTCTGCCTTGTGAGGAGTTCAGATTTGTGTGTGATGTGATTTGCACTGGAATCTAGTCAATGTATGATGCCTTCATAAATTTTTGTGCTGCTTTGAGGTTATTTGTTTTTATCAAAAGGTCGCCCGATTTCAATTCAGTAACTTCAGTATATTCTTTAGATATGTGTTGTAGGCCTTTCTCAATTTGAAAAACGTTATGAGAGGATAATGGAGGAACATTTTGGTCTCGCTTTGATCCAATAGCTTTTGCAACAACATATCGCGGAATATGATCATCATCAAATTCAAGGCCAATTTCAGCATATCTTTTCCTTTCCCCCTACCATATTAATGCTAATTATATCTTATAATCAGAATAAATTTGTCAATGAACCACGTGCAAAAATATGTGGTGAAAAACAATAATGATTTGCTTGTTTAACGGCAGTTCAATAGGCACAAGTATAGATCGCGAAAAACACAACCGCATGCACGGACAGTTAGTCGATGACTCTAGGCAGGGAAAATACCCGACTACTTTTGAAGCACAAGTGGTATTCAACACGACCCAATAAACATTTAGGTTTGAGCTCAACTTGAGGTTAAGTTGAGAACTAAGGTATTTCTCAAATCTCCAACGTTGTTTCTCAACAGTACCTCAAGTGGAGGATCATAGCGTTCTCAACAAAAAAAGCATTTTTCTTTGTATGAAAAAAGGACTGTTTCTCAAGTTGAGAAAACGCTAGTTCTCAACTTGAAGTCCAATGTAATTCACCAATTGGTCTCAAACATATCATTGAAATACTGAAATTGAAATAGTAAAATACCTTATACCTTTTTGATTGAAACGACATACATAGATGAATTTAAATATTAATTTTTCATTTTATTACTCCTTTTGTATTATGTAGTTAAGCAAAATCGCATTACAATAATTCACTTCACGGTACACAGTCCGACAGTAATTTTGCCACTTGATTCACTTGGCGTTTTATTTTCTTTCAAGATTATTTGAGGAGGTTTTGAAGATTATTTAATTTTTGTTGGTAATTTTCCTCTTTATATAGCTTTAGTTTTTCACTTGATAATTAAATATTCGTTTCTCTATCACTTTTTACGTCTGCCCGTCGGTTAGAGATGAGTTGGAGAATGATGTTGGATATCAACTTGAGAACTATGAATTTCTCCAAGGTTGGAGAAATATTTTTTTAGTGTTTATTCGGGACTGTCAAGTTAGCACTACACTTTTCGAAATTGGAAAAGTTAACTATGACATTAATTGTAGCTTTTTTGTTGTAAATTTGTTGTGGAAAGAAATAATTTTTAGCTCTAATTTTTTTTTTTTTTAATATGGTGTGTAGCTTCTAACTTGACTCTACAACGGCATTAATTGTAGCCTTTTTGTTATAAATTTGTTGTGGAAAGAAAACATTTGTAGCTTTCGGGTTTTAAGAAAAAAAAATGGTATGTAGTGCTAACTTGACACCATACACCTAGTCGATAGAATTGGGATATTGAAAATGTTATAACGGCATTAATTGTAGCTTTTTTGTTGTAAATTTGTTGTGGAAAGAAAAAATTTGTAGCTCTCGTTTTTTAATAAAAAAATGGTATGAGTGCTAACTTGACACCATACACCTAGCTGATAGTATTGAGATATCCAATATGTTACTATGCCATTAGCTGTAGCTTTTAACTTTAAAATTTGTTGTGAAAAGAAAAAATGGTATGTAGTGCTAACTTGACACCATACACCTAGTCGATAGAATTGAGATATTGAAAATGTTACGTCATTAATTGTAGCCTTTTTTGTTGTAAATTTGTTGTTGTAAGAAAAAATGTTTAGCTTTAGTTTTTTTAGAAAAAATGGGATTAGTTTATTTGTTTATTATCTACCGGACAATGTCCTTGTAGCTTTTTTGTTGTAAATTTGTTGTGGAAAAAAAACTGTAGCTCTCGTTTTTTAAGAAAAAATGGTATGTAGTGCTAAGTTGACACCATACACCTAGTCGATAGAAGTAAGATATTTAAAATGTTACGTCATTAATTGTAGCCTTTTTTGTTGTAAATTTGTTGTTGTAAGAAAAAATGTTTAGCTTTAGTTTTTTTAGAAAAAATGGGATTAGTTTATTTGTTTATTATCTACCGGACAATGTCCTCACAGATAAGCAGGAAAAAATAACCCATTATACACAAATTAGTCCTAAATGTACAGCGACATATGAAAAAGAGAAAATTATTTGAAAATAAAATAATCATTATTATCAATTTTAAAACGTTCTCTACACGAGTAAAAATCGACATAATTACAAAGAGTTACATAGACAAATGGACCTGTGAATGGGCTCATTATTAGCAAGTTCCGTCTTACGCATTGGCACGTAAAAAATGTATTTTTCTTTTAGATACCTCTCCGGCGCATAAAAAGCAGAAGCGAAAGTGGTTCAAGGGAATCAATTTTGTTATCGCATATATCTTTGATGAAAATACCACAAATTTTTCTCGTAGTAGCAAGATATTGTAAATTCAGTATTTGGCATCTCAGTTCGTAAGATGGCATCGATTCATAAGACAACATGCGTCGAACGGCAAATTTAGTTTAGTAAGTAGTAGGTAGTGCTAACTTGACACCATACACTTAGCCGATAGAATTAAGATATTGAAAATGTTACAACAGCATTAATTGTAGCTTTTTTGTTGTGGAAAGAAAAACATTGTAGCTTAAGTTTAAAAAAAAAAATGGTATGTAGTGCTATCTTGACACCATACACCTAGCTTTTGAATTGAAAATTTGTTGTGAAAAGAAAAAATTTGTAGCTTTCATTTTTCTGGAAAAAATCGACTTGACCGATTTTCGAAAATTTTGCATGTAGCGCTAACTTGGCACCATGCGTCACTGTCGATTTAATTGAGATAACGAAAATGTTACAAAGGCATTAATTGTAGATTCTTTATTACGAATTTGTTGTGAAAAGAATAACTTTGTATCTTTCGTTTTTTAGAAAAAATTGTAGATATGTTGTGCCAACTTGACACCATGTCCTAAAAAGCATTCTTCTCCCGGTCCATACTCTAGCATCTCCACTAATTGCATTAGTGCATCCCACAGCTTCTTTAGCGATAGATATTCTGTCTGACGTTATTAAACGCCTAATTTTTCGTTTGCAATCTGCCTGTTAGTAGTGCCTCTTATAATACGGCTAACAGTAGATTGGCTTACATGCGTTATTTTCGCTATTTCACGGCTTGAAGCTTTTTCAGTAATATTTTTATTTTCCAAAACACGTCTCATAATATATTAATAACAAAAACAAACTTACTTACTAATTTATAACAAAAGCCAACACTTCGATGGAGGAAACGGGCTGCAGCGAATTTCAGCGTGGCAATATCTCTTATAAATTATATGGGTGCAAAATTTAGTCAATGTGTTAAATTTTATATTTTATGGGGGATTCTAGTGCTTTAAAGTATACTCTAATATACATTTATTTATTAAGCATAGCTTGCAAATGAATTTGCAAGGTGTGATATAGGCGCCGGGCGCGTAGGTCATTGAGCGCCTTAGAATACATATGGGTATTTTGTTAAGTTTCTTCATTGAGCTGATGTATACGAAGCGCTTCCTCTATTTCTTTAATGTTGCTGTTCCTACAATTTAGTATTTCCTTGATGCTTTTATTTATTAACGATTGAGGGCAGGTTGTTCATACATGCTCTATTGTGAGGGCTGTTGCACAAAAAGAGCATGATCGTGGTTGTGTTTTGGTGAAAAGGTGTGATGGGTTGAAAAGTGTAGTGCCTGTCCGAAGCCTGGCTAACTTAATGCATTGATTACGGGTGAGTTTCGTGTCGTAATTATGTCTCGGGACATCGAAATTATGCCTATGTAGGAAGGTTCTGAGGTTATCTGCGATTTTCAGTTCGGCTTCTATTCGCAGCGGTCTTGTCGTTCTTGTTATGACAATGGAGTGGATTGGAACTTCTGTTATTAGAGGTAGCGAAAAACATTCTTTGGCCGCTTGATCTGCTCTTTCATTGCCTTCTATTCCTGTGTGCCCGGGTACCCAAAGAAGTCTAACTGGTTGCTGTACATTGGCATTACGTTCGTTTAATATTACATTAAGGGCGCTGAGACTGTCTGTGCAGATAAGGGTTTTCTTTTTAAGCTGTGCAGAAATTGATATTTCTTTCCTGATCGCTGTGTGCATGGGTAAAAAAGCTTGATGGATAACTGCGAACTGATCGCCTTCTGTTTGCGACACTACAGCATAAGAGGGTGTGTAAAAATTCACCGATCCATCAGTGAAAAGTAGTAGTTGGGGGTCTGTATCGTTGGTGATTTCCAAAAAGCCTTGTAGGTATGCTTGTTGGCAAATTGATTTCTTTTTGGTTGTGTTGAGTGATGTGATTAGTTTAGTTGTATTTTCCTTGCTCACTGGCGGTTTGCTTGGAATCGGTATACGTGAGTCATGTAACATCATGATTATTCTTTTTAAGCTGCTAGTTTTGTGGGACGGGTGTCCTCCTACGTTCTGTTGTGCCGATTAGGTTCCATACCACGTTGTGAAGGGGATGTTTATTATCCGTGATGGACTTAGCCGCTAGTTTGGAAGATCTTCTGAACAGTAAATTTTCAAAATCTCGAATTCGCGCTTCTATTTTTATAGCAGGTATGGGAGTTGCTTTCAGTAAGCCGTAGGATGTTCTGTAGCATTTGTAGATTTCGGTGTTGAGAGCTTAAGGGCCGGTTGCTCAAAGCCTGGTTGACACTAATCCGTGGTTAAACATCGTTATCGACGTTACCGACACCATGTTATTTGCATGGAGCCGAAAACGTCGATAACGATGTTAATCGGTGATTAGTGCCAATCAGGCTTTGAGAAACCGGCCCTAAATGTTTCTTTTGCATGTCCAGCCGTAGAGGGTTATACAGTGTTGGAGTACCCCTTCGGTGAATGTGCGACAAATAGCAATTGCGGTTTCTATGTGAGGACCTTTTCTTTTAAAACAAATGACTTTGATCATGTTGTTGACTTTTTTAAGTTTGTCTTTCAGAACGTTACCGTGGTTGTTCCATAACATGTTTTTAGAGAAATGTATACCCAGTATGCGCATATTGTTTTTCAAAGGAATTGTACGTTCGCGGATGTGTACCGAGTTGTCAACGCAACTGTTTTTACGGCATACATGGAGGGCCGTTGCTACTTCTATGGGGACTGCGGATCCGGTTGAGTAAGCCCATTTGTTTATAGTTTCGTCTAGGTTTCGTAGACATTGCGTGACTGTTTTGTGCGTTCCTGATGCTGATGCGAAGATATTGTCTGCGTATATACCCAGGTATGAAATCCCTTCGACGTCTTTTATCTGTTTTAATAGAGAATTGGCGTAGAACGTGTAGAGTACTACTGATAGCGGGGGTCCCTGGGGGACTCCGTTTTCCAACTTTTTTTTCTTGACAGGAATCCATCAACTCTAGCTGTAATCCTTCTGAACGATAGGAAGGATAAAGAGAGTTTGAGGATGTTCGCCGGAATACCGCACTTGTGCATTTCTTTAGTGACTTCAGTAGCTATTACCCTATCATATGCCTTTGCCAGATCTTCAGACAGAATGACGGGGTGTTCTCTACTTGATCGTTTCAACTGATTTTCGAGAGTGTGAGTAAGGGTGTGTACTCCCATGTTTGGGAAAGAATGCGTGTTGTTCTGCTTCTAGTTTGTTGCCGAAGTTGGTCCATATTCTGTTGGCTAAAATTTTGTCGAATGTTTTTGCCAAAGTGGCTAGTAGCGAGATAGGACGGTACCCCTCGACTGAGTTGGGACTTTTCCCAGGTTTGGGAACAGTGTAAGAATTGCGTGCTTCCATTCATGTGGATAGATTGCTGTTTCGATGATTCGATTGAAGTCTGCATATTCGAAACGTCAATGATGTAGACGCGTTTTTTAGCATTGTGTATGTTATTTTGTCATGGCTGGGGGAGCTGCCCTTAGTTGTTATAAGAATTGCCTCCAGTTGACTATAGTTGTGTCAAACGAGTCATTTGCGCTTGATGCCCTCCAATGAGCCCCTAGGGCTTCGGCTATTTGCTCTGGATGCTTGAGAACGGCGTTGTTTGTAAGTATTTGTGGAAAGTTGGAAAATCGTTGACATTTAATTTTATAAATTTTTTGTCAAAGATGTTTTGAATCGAGTGTTGGATTGAGTGAGTTTAGCAACTTAATCCACGTCTATTGTTAGGATTGCTTGCGAAGCTTTGCGAAACTCTAGGCTGTTATTGGTTGTTAGGGAGTTTTTCAAGTTTTTCCAAGCAATGTTTTTTAACTTGATTAAATTCGCGATTCGCGAGTTGAACCAAACTGGGCTATTTCGATTATGAGTAGATTAAGTAGTAGGCATGGCTTCGTTTGCAGCTTTTCTCAACACTTTTTTATCTGTGCCGCTTCCCTGTTGACATTACTAGACTCAGAAAACATTTGTGAGTAGATGTTTGTTTTATTTTCAAACAATGGCCACTTGGCTTTGTTAGTATGTTATTGAAAATAAGTATTGGGAAGTGGTCGCTGGAGCCTGATGGTGGAAGGCATAACCACTTCAGAGCCGAGGTTATTCCTCCGGAAGCAAATGAGACGTCTACGTTCGTTAATAAGTTGCTTGTATTAAACAGAGTAGGAGAACCGTCGTTTAGTACCACTAGCTGTTTTTCGTTTGAGAAATCTTCCCACATTTTCCGTTTTGCGTTGTTTTCTTTGATCCCCACAGCGTATTATGTCCATTTAATGTGGTATCCATCACGGTAGGTATGTATGTCGTCTAAATGCTGAGTAGTTAAGAAGAGGTCTGTTTCGCGATAGATATTAGTTACGTGCAGGTCTTTAAATGCGTGTATAGTGATTGATTGGAAAAGTAAGTTGTTGGTTGATACCTTATGATTTAATCTGTTTAAATTTTCTTTTATCAGGATTGCAATTCCCGCTTTAGAAAAGGAGTAGTCTTTGTTGAAGTGGTATACTTTGTAGGGTGGCACGTGTAGTAAGTGTTTTTTTTTTTGATACAAGTAATTCTAAACCGAACTTGTTATTTAAAAACCCTTGTATGTTCCATTGTAATACTGTACTGTGTAACTCGTAGTCTGTAACATCGGTTTCCTCTGGTTCGTTGGTTATGTTGTGTTGTGAACGAGTATTTGTGAAAGTTTGTGGGGTGATAAGGGCGGACGTTTAGGTCATGATATTTTTTGTATAATTGGCTGTAAGGTGATGTTTCAGTTTCATTTATTGTTGAGAAGGTAAAAGTGCCTGTTTGCGTGACATTGGTTGTAGTAGCGCTATAAGTTGATGCTTGGACTGCTGTCTGTGTTAGTTGGTTGTTTTCTTTTTGGTGTGATTTGTTCTTCATTTTTCTGCAAAAACTCTTTGTTGCTGGTGTACATACCTCTGTTTTTGTTTGTTCGATGTTCCGTTGCTTGTGTTTTTAACCGACTTCCAAAAAAGGAGGAGGTTATCAGTTCGTCGGAATATTTTTTTTTTTTTTTTTTAATGTATGTTACCGCATAACTTTGGACCGCGGTAGTGTCTGAGAGGTGGTCCCATACTAATCTGGTTGAGATCCGATCAGTGGATCATGAGATATATATATATATATATATATATTTTTTATATGGGAGTTGAATTCGGTTTTTTTTTTGCTAAAAATTACTTGTTTTCTTGATTTTTGTTGGGTTTCTTTGTTGTTGAATTATTTGCATTATTATCTCCTTTGTTATTCCTTTCTATTTCGGCTGTAGTGGGCTTATTGTTTTTAACAATCTGTGCCATGGTTGGCGTGTTTATATTATTTTTGAAGGGTTGGATTTGATAGGCTGCTGAGTTGCTATTGAAAATTTTCCACGCATCTCTATTTGTGCATCGACGGTCGCTTTTTATTTTGTTGACTGATTTTACTTCAGGAAGGTGGGAAAGTTTGGATCGTATGAAGGATGAGCTTCAATTTCGCAGTTTAGGCAGAAAGTCCTCTGACATGTTCCATGTGGTGTTGTATTGGCACATTCTTTACAAAGTTCGATGTTCCGGCATCTATTCTTTTTGTGCCCGAGACGTTGACAATTGCGACATCTCAT